TAGCAAATATAGATTTTAAGTGGCCAATTCTATCACTAATGACTGCGTTACTTTGAGAGAGCCACTTCTACAGCATCCTTTCAAGGTAAGGCCACATGAAAGACTTCCCGTGCACTCAACACATTAAAGACACACTAGAGAGGAGTCTTGAACTCAGCCGGGGCTTTTGGGTACTACAGATTCACGATCGGGAGGAGTTATAGAAATTACTATCTTGGCTTTGAAGCCTTTAAGAATTATTATCTCCAACCAGCACTCTGGATGAACAGAGAAGTGCTTAAAGTTTCAGGCCCAGCAGTAAAACGGTTCCTTTGATGACCATATCTTCTCTGAAGGGCTAGAGGGTCATCGTTTTGCCTGACCTTTAAATATGACCACAATACGTCTCGATTTGCATTTAAGAAGTTATGAAAAAAACAGCACAGGCAACACTGTTCAGCAGTCAAGCAATCCAGATTTCAAAGGAGACATGAAACATCTGTCTTTCGGAAATGAGTCGCACACCAAGGACACACTTTGAGGGCTCTGCCAACATCCAAAACAAGCCACAGTTTTTCCCTGGGTACAACTGACCTGAGCAGAGGATCGTGGAATAGTTTGTTATCTTCTGGGGAGCCCAGAGATAACACTTGACACGATCAACTCCAAGCACCACTTCATTTTTAGTTCAGTTTGGAACTGATTTGAGGAAGAGAGACATTAGCCAGGCACCTGCAACACAGCTAACAAGGCAACTTTTAACGATTAGTAAGTAATGAGATTTCCTAATGAGCGGTTCATTCAAAGGGCATGAAGTGGTATCAAGAACCAGGTAAAAATCCCAATTAAGATTTCTGTGCAATTGAAGAGCACGTAGGAGAGCTGGTATTCTCAGAGATAAAATGGTTATCTTGCTGCACACAGCAATCAATAGAGTTTTTGGAATCAACTGACGGACCGTACTGGTTCCCTCTTGCTGAATGAAGACAGTGGTTGGGCAAAAGCCTTGCATGGGCACAACTATTGAAACATATCCTGGCTCTCAGACCCCTGGAGCTAACACCTGTGACCAGAATGGGTAGGAATCTGAGTTTTACGTGTGGGCAATTTGGCTTAAGAGCTTCTCTTCAAGAAACAGGTTACCAAGTGGAGAGGTGACCACAGCTCTATACTTTCCAGATGCTGCAAATCCCATCTTATCAACACGCAGACCCATTAAGGCAAGCAGCTTATCTGGGGGTACTTAATCGCTCATTGGACTCTCTGGCTAAAACCTATGCTTGGGCATAGCAAGGCAGAGCTTTGCATGCCTCTGAGGGCACCTTCCAGTTTGACAGGCAAATCACAGTTCTCGGTTGTGTGAACAGCAAATCTCACATCAAAAGCAGCTTCCAGCTAGTCCAAAGGCAAAATCGGAGCCACCGACTCTTTAGATTTCAATGCAAGACTGTAACATCTCCGCAAGTCACATTGAAGAGGCAGGCAGGAAATCCAAGACCACCTTAGACAGGGCTGCCTTTCTTCTCCAACATCTCATGAAAAGGAAGGAACTTTGCCTGGCTCCTGAAAGATATCTGAGCCTTAACCATGCTGTCATGCTGGCAAGAAAAGGAGGAGGGAACCCCGAGATTCAAGAGGGGTCTACCGAAGAGAAACTGCATTTGGGCTGCTTCAGTTTGGTGAATAACCCAGTCTTTTCCCAACAGGACAGCAACACAACATCTGTTCACCTTAATATCGCAAACAGCTCGTTAGACAGACTTAAAACAACAGCATTATGAGCTGAAAGAAAGGAGGGAACCTGCTGGGGGAGGATAAAGGAAATAGGATAGCAGAGAGCAGAAATCAGATTTATTAGGACTAACCAGGTAGATAAAAGACAGATGATCACCAGGGGACGAGGCCTCTGTTTTGGAATCGAGCAATATCCAGCTCCTGAAAGCATCTAGTCAGCGCTAGCATTTCATACACATGAAATTAGTGTCCACGCAACAGTGCCCTCCTGAAACGACGGGATTTAAGGCAGCCGAGATAATTATCTAGATCCTTCTTTATCCCATTAGCGGTTTGCATTCGTGTCCTGGAACACGATAAGCGGATTGTTCGAGAATTATTTGCTCTCCGCTGATTCAATCCCGATTGGAATTATCTTTATACCTTGGTACCAAGAAAAGAGATTACATCCTTTCCAGGGCTTGCTGCAATGCCCTCTTTCCTGAGGCTCTTTTTTTTTTTTGTCTTTTGTTTTGCAAAAATTGTAAAAAAAGAATAAAAAAGAACAATCACCACTGACATGATTTTGCCCTGATCTCATCTCCTGTCCCTATATAGAGGTTTGGGAAGAGGGGGACACGCTTATCCTGCTGCATCCCCCGTGCACCTGCCTGGGATGGGGGTGACCAGGCGTCCTCATCAAACAACGAAGATGAGGACAGGATCAAAAAAATAAAAAAAAAGATCCAGGCTTCCATTTTTTACCACTCTCCAATAATACGAGAACAGGGATGAAACTGTTAGAGCCAATTAAACAAATCACTTCATGCACCAGAAAGAAGTGGAATTCATGGCAGCAGAGATCCCAGGGGCGCAGCTGAAGGTCTCGTCTCGTGTTTTCCAGCAGCACATGTCACTGGGCAAGCTCCGGTGGAGACAAAGCCCACGTAATTCAAAGAGCCAACACAATCCCTCGCTTGGAGGCCTGAAACAACAACAAGGCAAAATCCTCCTCCCAGCCGCTCCAACCGCCTGCCAGGTTTCGTATTAATGGAAGAATTACGTCTCCTTCCAGGACATCTCGTCTCCCTTGAGCATCCACTGCAGGAAAACAGAGTCTGCAGAGAGGTGAGGAAAGATTCCTGGACAACGTGAAAACTGTCTTTCCTCCATATAGAAACACAGGAAAGTAAGTGCTTAGACCTCACACAAACAAGAATGCATTTTTTTTTTAAAGCACATTTTACAGCTTTGTAATGAGATCTGGAGGGGAGTTATCTTTATAAACAAGTTATTAAAAGGGGGAGGGTGGACATAATAATAGCAGGTGCCAATTACTCAGCTCCCAGCAGCGAGTTTTCAATTTCTCACCTTCCCCCGGTGCAAGATGTGCCACTGCACGGCGGCACATTTCTCTGCAAGTGTAACACCCTTCCAGACTGTGCTCCTCTCCCACCAAACACAGCGGCGGAGCCGATGTGCCAGCACCGCGGAGTGACCGTCCCTCTCCCCAGCAGCCCTGCTGCGACCAAAATGGCATTAAATCCTTCGGAAAAGAGTGAAGCAGCAGAAAATAAAACAAAATTATATTATTATTATTATTATTATTATTATTATTATTATTATTATTATTATTATTATTATTATTATTATTATTATTATTTTATTTCTCTACAAAGTCTGGTCACTCCTACTGCCAGGGAGAAGAGCAAATTTAGGGTCTAATTGCGACTGCCAGGTTTGTGTCTCTGTAAATGTGTGCTTAGTTTCAGGCACAAAACCCTGGCAATTACCTTGTTATTTTAAGACACAAGCAGAGCTTCAAACAGCAAGTGCTTACACTGGAACTGGAGCCATCGGAGAGATCCCCTCCTTTGAGGCAAGCACACCAAGGCAATGATTAATACCCCAAATGTAATCCGAGCCTTTAAAATCATTATTTCCAAAATCAGCAAATAATTACCGAGGCCTTCAGCAATCAATACTCAAGATAAATAGACAACTGGATTGCAAAAGAAACAGAAGAAAGTAGTTAATATTTGCCAAATACATGCCAGGCACACTTTTTTTTTGTGGTAACCAAATACTTCCAGTAAATAGAAATTTCAGCTCACTGAAGAGGCAGTTTCAGAAAGTAATAAATTAAACTAATAAAAGAGACAGACAGGGTGGAACCAGACATTAATGAAAGAAACTGATCTATAAGGAGCCAACCCACAATCCATGTCCCAATTATATTCATTTACCATTCTGGTTTCTTCCCCTCCTTCACCCTGGTCAGCCTTTTAGCTCAGCGAAGATAATGCTTCATGCAACTTTACTGTGATGACAAAGCAGCAGAGAATTTCAGCAAACAAATTAAGAAGTTGGAGCTCAGCTAGAATTTGCATTTCCAATTTTTAAGAAATACTTCTTGCTCCCCAAAGCCTGCAGATTAATCAGTGTTTAAATACAAGCCCTTCTGCTCCTTCAGCTTCCTTCCAGCTGAACTCGCATGGCTGTTGCTCGTGGAGCACTTATTCCAGCCCAAGGTGTGGACCATGTGCACACTTGGACCACGCATCATCTGAGCTGGCCACAGTGCCCACAGGAGAAGTTCACCTCTCGCTGGAGGAAAAATCTCTTCTCCACCAGTCACGAGCACGTGTTAGCTGAAGACGATGGGCAGGAGATGCTGCTCCGAAGGTGGATGAGGTGGAAGACACAGAGAAGGAACTCGGAGCAAGAGTCACCCCACTATGAGCTGCAGGGACTGGTGACACCTTCTCTGGCCACCCTACCCTCTGCTCACCTGCCCTATCAAAACCACGGCCTCGAGTCAGGATAGCTGCGTTATTTGGGAAGTACTCGGGAAAATCTGTGGGACAGTGAATAATTCAACACACACAAGACTGAGGCAGACATGTGAGCAGAAATCTGTCCTACTTATTTTCCATCCCCTTCTCCCCCCCAAAAAAATCAAAGCAAAAGAAAGGTCAGGAGAGGAAATCAGAGGCCAGCGGAAGACAAAGCGAAATGAGATATCAAAGCCAACTGTGGCGAAAATGCAATGAGATGTGACACGAAAAAGGACTAGTTAAAACATGAAAGGCAAGATCAAACAAAAGGCAAAAGAGCACAGTCTGAGGCCACAGAGCGGGGAGAGGAGATAACCACACAGGTTTCACCAGCATTAAGTGAATAATTCATTTGCCAGGTAATTTTCTGAGGCAGGTGTTAAGTCTGAGAGCGTCTCACACCATCCAGATCCATCCTCCATACAACCAGATATCCTGCTTATTCCCCAAATTGCAGGCAGTAATAGGCACCAGGACATGGCACGGCAGCTCAGCTCCTGAAGCTCCAGCCGCTGCGGAGCAGAGGGATACAGGAGCATGGTCTTCACCAGCTGCTTCTGCATGACGATCCTGTCACTAAAGGTGGATTTGGGTGATTTTACAAGGCTTTGAATAAAACAGACCATGCAAACACGGATGCTTAGCATATGTATTTTAAGCAGGTATTCTTCAGCCCTAGAAATATTTCTATGATTACATTTAAGGAGCTTGCATGAGTTCTGTGGTGCCACAGACCAACAACGGAGTTCTTCAGAGCACTGGCAAGGCACCCAGGATTTATTACACATGAGGAGCGAGGGATACAAAAGGTCTCCAGGTTAAACCTTATTTCCAGAAAGCTCTCGCCAGCACAGAGAGAGGGCGGGGAAAGGAAGCTATGTGATTTAAGGGAGCCTTAAAGCTGTGATCGGGACGACCCTGGAGGAATTGGTGTAAAGAGAACCAGTCAGTGGCACCGACATGGGTCGATGCTGCGCTCTTCACTAACTGTACGAACATCAACTAGTCTTAAAACACAAGTGCAACAGCGATGGTGAAAAGTAAATTGCCAGTGGAACAAAAGCCATAAAGAAAATAAAAAAACGGGGAAGGATATTCACAGAAGCTCCTTTAAAGCCTAACTATTTACATTTTAATGCTCTTGCTGTCCATTGTAAAATAAGCAGAAACGAGAACAACTTGTACAAGTGCTTTGGGTGGCTTCAAAACACGGAGCAACCTCTGAGCGAGTATTTATACTGTGCATAGCACAGGAGGGCAGGAATATCTAAATGTTAGCGCAGCCATTTCCAGGCAGGGAGACGAAGTCACAGCGCGGTCCCCGCGTGTCCACGGCCACGCACGGATCTCACACACAAGGAGACCTGACACCAGGGCACAAACAGGGAGAAGCAGAGGACGCCACGATTAACGCGGAAACAGAGGTGTTTTAACATCAAAATCTGCCCTTCCCAACTTCTCTGATTTCACAACAGACGCCTGACAGGAGTCATTTTAAAGTGCTGGCTCAAAAACCAAAGAAAGAAAAAGTTATAACTGAATAAATCCCTCTTCCCCACACACTCCAATTAAAATGAAAAAAAAAAGAAGTGCTTCCCTGTCAAAGACAACAATCATCTCCTCAAATCAGGATGTTATTAAACGGAGGCTTGATGGGCAATCCCCAAAAAGCCTCTCTTTCTAAGAGAGTTAACCTCGGAGCCCCAGCAAAAGCCCTTTGTTTATTTTAATAGTTTCCATGATCCTTTAATTTGCTCAGAAACTTCTGCCTCCACCGCAACCCTCTGCAGCCCCCAAGCCCTGGCGACCTCCTCGGTTCCCACTGGTGGAAAAACAAAAAAGCCAAAATCAGAATCGCCCTAAAACCAACAGCATGAGAAATCTTTGTGTAAAAGATAGACCTTTATTTGCCCAAGCTCCCAGGCAGGTTGCCTGGCCCCCCGGGATGCCCTCAGGGAACCGCGCGGCTGCTCCGAAGGGACAAGCGGCTCTGCCGGCGCTCGGCCCGCGCAAGCGGCCGCGGAGCCTTTGCATTAACTGCACAGACATCCCAGCCTCGTCGCCAGGAGTTTTCAATCCAGGTCGCCAGGACTTTTCAATCCAGGACTTTTCAATCCGGAGGCTGGCACAGAACAGCGAGACAAAGTGAGCTGCCTGGAGGAGCGCAGTTTCGGCAAACTGCTTGCTTGTTAACCCTGTCCTTGCAAAGCCAGGCTTGCAAAACTCAGCTTGCAACCAGTAGTGTCGCCGTTAGACAAGTATTTAGCCACTTACTACTCCAGAAGTAAGTTTAGGAACTTTAGAAGTAAGTTTACGTCCTCAAAATAAAGCTAGGCGAAGTTTTTTGCAACCGAGCCCTATGTAGGCTCATGTTCTTCCACTAATGGGCACCAGGTAGTGCTTCTGCACCCAGCTAGTGGAAAGGCAGATCTGCCAGTCTGCAGCCTGGCCAAATTCAGGACTAAAGCCAATTCCTTGGAATTCAGTAGGCTTCAAAGCTGTCTGGAGATGCCTGTCAGCTTCCCTTAAACCAGCGAGCTACAGACTTGTTTTACGTTAAACACTAAGTGAATAATCAATGAGCATTCAGGATGGAAGCACAAATCAATGATTTCTTCTAGATGAATCAAATAGAATTGCAAATTAGAGGGGGTTTTGTTATAGAAGAGAAGTAAATGAAGAAAAGTAATTGATATAATTGGGTTTAGGCGTTACCTCCTCTGCTTCTCTCCTGCATGCTCCCTGCTCACCATTCCCATGGGAAGCACAGCTGTCCCCCAAAGCCTTGTGACAACAAATGTCACCGTCCCTATAAAGCAGAATGGAGCTGAGGCATAAGAAACAGCTGAGCGACTTCCCCAAAACTGTGCAAGATGCAGCAAAGACCTAAGTCCAGAAGACTATCCTGGTGACAAAGTCCATCACGCAGCTATAGCCAGAGCAGCAAGGGTTACTGGAAAGGGACACCCCAAGCACAGATCAAGAGCACAGTTAAGAGCCTAACAACTACAAAGAAATAAAAACAGAAATACAGCTGCCTCCGGACAGTGGAAGATTTACTCTTATAACTGCTTATCAAGAGACTGCACAGTGTCACTCACTCTTGGGATGAATTTGGTCAAATTACATGCAAGGTAATTTTACAACCACAAAACGCAAGATAATTTTGCAAACACTGCTGCATTTCAGCCACCAATTACACCTGCTGCACCACCAAGCCCAAGCAAAGGCTCTCACAAATGCTCACGCACATCTTCTTTCTCACGCATTTTAATGATGGGAGAAACCACTTGTAACCTCTATATCTCCTTAGTCCATCCCTGCCTGTTCCTCCCTGGACATGAGACGAGCAGGTTGGAGCCACCATCCTCATTCCTGTTAAATGCTCCTCTGGGGTGCAGGAAGCTCTTCAATCTGGGAAGGGGGTAACGGAACCAAAAAGGGAGTGGAGCCCCTGGGTACCGCAAGAGAAGACACAACCATTATTATTATTATTATTATTATTATTATTATTATTATTATTATTATTATTATTATTATTAATTATCGATGCAACGCTTATTTAGCAGTATCACTCCCCAAATTGGATCTGTCTCTGCCCTAAGGTCTAGCCAGGGTTGGAGGGGAGGACCAGGCGCTCGGAGCAGCGCCGAGAGGCTCCTGCAGAACGTGAACAGCGAGTCCTTACCCGACTTGTGCATCTATTTTAAAGCTTTCACAGCTCCCACAGGAAGAGCAATTCCCGTGGTATGTGCATCCGAAGTACTGCACCATATAAACTGATGTTACTGGTTTTAAGCCGCTGTTTATGGAGCATCTGAGATACCCAGGCAAGTCTGCACGTAGAGAGATGTCTGCAGCTCAAGCTTTACAGCAGGACTAGGTATAGACATTACAAACCATCAGAATTTCAGGAAAACACTTGCCAAAGAAGTGTTCAGGGGGAACTTGGCTATGGAGGCTATTCAAGGAATGGAGCTGTACCCTGGAGGTTAAATCCCAACATGCAACATTTCCTTCACTAACGAGCAGTATGTCAAGAATCTCCTTAAAAATAATAAGAAAAGTCATGTTTTCCTCCCAGTTTGATGCAGCCACTCGAGCTCCCTGGCCCCGTGTCACGTGCCAAGCAGGACAGGGCAACCTGGGAGAGCCATGGGGCTTCCTACGGTGCAGCTGGTCTCATCTACCGTCAAGATTTAGAATTTCCTCTTCAATTCAAAAGAAGAAAAGAGAGACACAAAACATCTAAAGAAAACAATGAAAAAATAAAATAAACTTTGCTGCATTTATGGTTTTTAGGGCAGACTGCCATGGAAAGGTAGGGCAAAGAGAAGGGCTGCAAAGGTGTAGGGACAAGGTATGTGACCTGTTGGTCTGTCAAGATGAGGTCTAACATAACGGAACAGTTTTCATCATTTGGAAGATAAAAAATATAGTAGTAAGTAGTTTAAAATAGTCCCCTCTCTTGTGCCCATGTGACTATCCATAAGTTACAAAGCTTATTTTTACAGACCCCTCTGGTAAAGCATCCCTCATAACTACCACGTGCTGTATGCCAGCGACTGAACTTGCCGGTGTTTCCTCACACCTTCCCAAAGGACTAATCCTCCGACTGCAGGGCACTTGCCAAAGCCGAGCCCTGCACCCCTGCAATGAGCACGGCTTACAGAGCACTTTCTTTCAATGAGATTGGTTGTTGAGAGCTAATTTGTACATAAATCCAAACCCACAAAGAGAGCAATGAAGCTCTCGCTGCAAGACAGATGCCCACCAGCTCCTGCAACTTGAAACACACATGGACAGATCTCCATGCACCTCGAGATGCCACCCAAGAGCCTCAGGACATGGCACCGCTCCACACGCTTCATGGTTTTAATGCTTTCATCCCCTCCGTTGTCCGTTTGTGGTGTCTGAGACTGCCCTTCTACCCGAGGCTGCTTCCAATCTCCTCTATAACTAGACCAAGGGAGCAATTGTTTTTGCAGACCAAGAGGTCAAAACTTCACTAATAACCACATTGCAGCAAAACACCATTAGCAGGCACATAAACACTGAATTGGCGATAGAAAAGCAACTCTAGAGCTGGTTTGACCTGTTCTATTTTCCTTCATTTAATTGGGTTGTCCTCCCACCTGAGAGCGGGAAGACAAAAACAAGCAGCTCTGGGACGCCTTGCAAGTGCATTAGAATCGCTTTATCCCCCCCGTCCAAGGCAATTTGGGACAAATTTCCAGCCTTTGCCAGAATGCAGCAACACAAACAGCTAGAGATCCCTGGGAAGTGCTTCCAGTTACTCATGGGCACAGCTGATGCTACAGCAGACTGGCAAACACAAAGGCTGCCTTGCAAAAATAAGGGGATAGGGATGAGGAGGATCCAGGAAATAACAGAATAATCAGCTTAACTCCGACCGAAGTACTTAGAACATATCAAGGAGTTGAGCAAAACCTAACCTTTGTTTATCAAGAACAAATTATATGAAATCTATCTTATTTTTTCTTGCAACCCAGTAATAGGACTTGCAGAAGGAGATGTCTTACCTTTCTTTTACAGGGGCCTC